CCCCCCAACCCCTCCCTGTGGACGCTTTTGCAGGTCAAAGCCGTGAGCCAGTGTTTTTTTGGGGGGCTGCCAGGGTGGCTGCCCTGCTCTCCCACATCCCGGGTGGCAGGAGGAGGGATGTTTTGGCCAAGGCAGCAGGGCGAGCGTGTGCCTTGGCACCAACCCCAGGGCTGGGGCCGCAGCCAGCGGGGCGAGGAGCCGTGGGGAGGGGAGGTGTGAGCCGGGACAGAACGTTCTGCCGCGAGCAGCCGCAGGAAAACCAACCAGCAGCCCTGAACAGGACTCTTTGTTCAGCTGCCGCTGCTTTTTTTTTTTTTTTTAACTTTCCCTCCCCTTCCTCTGTCAACTTTTGCTCCCAGTTGATGAGCTCCCTTCCCCCGGCTCCTCCAGCTGCAGCTTCCAAACCTCCCTGGCAATGCTGCAGAGAGACCCTGGAGATGATGGGGACGCTGCTTCAAACCCCCCAGGGAGGGGAATTATTACCCACTCTGCCCCACCGAGCAGCAATGGGGCAGCTGGGGAGTTTCCAGGCTTCAAACCTGTGCTGGGAGGAGGGTTGTGTTGTGTTTTTTCATCTCGCCAGGCTGCAATCCCTCTGGTTGGTGCTGCCTTACATAAAGTGTTTACTGAGCGGGAGGAGGGAAGGGCCAACAACATGTTTGTGCCTTCGTCGTACTGTACAGGCTGAACTTTTCACTTCCTCTCAATGGCTCTCACACATGTGTCTATTTTGGTGCTGGGCTCACATACAAACAAGCCATGTAGGGCACGGAGCCGGGCTGTTCCCTGCTCTAGCTCCTGGAAACAGTTGGAAAACAAGGAAGGGGGGGGGGGGGAAATCTGGGTCCCACTTGTGGGGAACGTTTGGGCAGTGCATCCCCTTGGCACAGCTGCAGACACCAATCCTACACACACACACATACACTCCTGGAGGGCTGGGGGAGTGGAAAAGTTTCACTTTGAGCAGTAAAAAGCTGGTTCTGCAGCTGGTGATGCTGATGGCTGCACGTAGGGTTGGCGAGGGGGTGGGATGAGGAGTGGGGAAGGGGGTGCAGGGTGGCACGGAACCTCTTGATATGGGGGGGGTGGGTATTTTTGGTGAGTTTGGCCAAGGTAAATTGAGGTAGCTGGTGTGAGCTGGCTTAAAAATAGATGACACAAAGCAAACAAACAAGCTGAGGATTGAAATGCTCCCTTCTTTTCAGAACAGGCCCCTCTGGGGTGGAGGTTTCACACCGACCACCATCGGCCGAGGTGTGCTCTTTGCTGTGCAGGAGGCCCTTGCAGAGCCAGGGCTGGCTGCCCTCCAGGAGCAGGGAGGAGATTTTCCAGGCCCTGCACGGGGGAGGCAGCGTGGGACACATCTCTGCTGAGCTGTTGCCTTACGTGAGAAACCCTTTCAGAAACCCATCCAGTGAATTTCCAGGGGTGAGGAGCTGGAACTGGGGCTTTATCTGCAGATTGGGGCTGGCTTTTGGGTGGCGTGGGGCTCACAAAAAGATGATTTTGATACTAATTACAAGCAGAAACAAATGCAGAAGGTGCCTGCATACCTTTTCCCCTTAGTTGTTTTTTTTTTTTTTGCTGGTGACATAACTAAGACAGGGATGGATTTAAATGAAGCTGTTTGAATCCAGATGTGGCTGGGCTGAAATAGGGAGTAAAAATAAAAATCGCCTCGTAAAGAAGATGTTGAAAATGGAATAATTAGGCATCTGGAGCTGTAAGTTGTATGATTGTTTACAGAGCCTACAGCCCTGCTGGCTAGCAAAAAGGGGGTGTTGAGGCTCTGAAAATGAACATGGTGAAATGGTGATGCCAGAAAATGGCAACTCACTTCCCTTCACAAACAGGGGTGAAGTACAAATGTAAAGCAAGATGCTTAAAATGGACAGATTGATTCAAAGGAGAGTTTTCTGCTGGCTGAGTTCAACCAGGATGAAAAATCTGATTTAAACCAATCCACTGTTGAATGTAAAGCAAGTTAAACTGAACTGAAGTTGACCAGCCTAACAGCCAAGCTGCCTCTGAGCTCATGAAACCTCCTGTTACATACCCAGCAGCTGGTTGTGTCTCTCATGAGACCCCCCCCCCCAAGCTCTCCAAAGAGAAACAGTTTCAAAGAGAGAATTAATTTATTATCACAGAACCATCTGATACATAAAGAGGGCAGGTCTTTTTGTTCAGCTTGTGCTGCTTTTTTTTTTTTTTTTAACTTTCCCTCCCCTTCCTCTGTCAACTTTTGCTCCCAGTTGATGAGCTCCCTTCCCCCGGCTCCTCCAGCTGCAGCTTCCAAACCTCCCTGGCAATGCTGCAGAGAGACCCTGGAGATGATGGGGACGCTGCTTCAAACCCCCCAGGGAGGGGAATTATTACCCACTCTGCCCCACCGAGCAGCAATGGGGCAGCTGGGGAGTTTCCAGGCTTCAAACCTGTGCTGGGAGGAGGGTTGTGTTGTGTTTTTTCATCTCGCCAGGCTGCAATCCCTCTGGTTGGTGCTGCCTTACATAAAGTGTTTACTGAGCGGGAGGAGGGAAGGGCCAACAACATGTTTGTGCCTTCGTCGTACTGTACAGGCTGAACTTTTCACTTCCTCTCAATGGCTCTCACACATGTGTCTATTTTGGTGCTGGGCTCACATACAAACAAGCCATGTAGGGCACGGAGCCGGGCTGTTCCCTGCTCTAGCTCCTGGAAACAGCTGGAAAACAAGGAAGGGGGGGGGGGGGAAATCTGGGTCCCACTTGTGGGGAACGTTTGGGCAGTGCATCCCCTTGGCACAGCTGCAGACACCAATCCTACACACACACACATACACTCCTGGAGGGCTGGGGGAGTGGAAAAGTTTCACTTTGAGCAGTAAAAAGCTGGTTCTGCAGCTGGTGATGCTGATGGCTGCACGTAGGGTTGGCGAGGGGGTGGGATGAGGAGTGGGGAAGGGGGTGCAGGGCGGCACGGAACCTCTTGATATGGGGGGGGTGGGTATTTTTGGTGAGTTTGGCCAAGGTAAATTGAGGTAGCTGGTGTGAGCTGGCTTAAAAATAGATGACACAAAGCAAACAAACAAGCTGAGGATTGAAATGCTCCCTTCTTTTCAGAACAGGCCCCTCTGGGGTGGAGGTTTCACACCGACCACCATCGGCCGAGGTGTGCTCTTTGCTGTGCAGGAGGCCCTTGCAGAGCCAGGGCTGGCTGCCCTCCAGGAGCAGGGAGGAGATTTTCCAGGCCCTGCACGGGGGAGGCAGCGTGGGACACATCTCTGCTGAGCTGTTGCCTTACGTGAGAAACCCTTTCAGAAACCCATCCAGTGAATTTCCAGGGGTGAGGAGCTGGAACTGGGGCTTTATCTGCAGATTGGGGCTGGCTTTTGGGTGGCGTGGGGCTCACAAAAAGATGATTTTGATACTAATTACAAGCAGAAACAAATGCAGAAGGTGCCTGCATACCTTTTCCCCTTAGTTGTTTTTTTTTTTTTTGCTGGTGACATAACTAAGACAGGGATGGATTTAAATGAAGCTGTTTGAATCCAGATGTGGCTGGGCTGAAATAGGGAGTAAAAATAAAAATCGCCTCGTAAAGAAGATGTTGAAAATGGAATAATTAGGCATCTGGAGCTGTAAGTTGTATGATTGTTTACAGAGCCTACAGCCCTGCTGGCTAGCAAAAAGGGGGTGTTGAGGCTCTGAAAATGAACATGGTGAAATGGTGATGCCAGAAAATGGCAACTCACTTCCCTTCACAAACAGGGGTGAAGTACAAATGTAAAGCAAGATGCTTAAAATGGACAGATTGATTCAAAGGAGAGTTTTCTGCTGGCTGAGTTCAACCAGGATGAAAAATCTGATTTAAACCAATCCACTGTTGAATGTAAAGCAAGTTAAACTGAACTGAAGTTGACCAGCCTAACAGCCAAGCTGCCTCTGAGCTCATGAAACCTCCTGTTACATACCCAGCAGCTGGTTGTGTCTCTCATGAGACCCCCCCCCCCAAGCTCTCCAAAGAGAAACAGTTTCAAAGAGAGAATTAATTTATTATCACAGAACCATCTGATACATAAAGAGGGAAAACAAGAGTTCCAGGGTATTAAAGATACAGCTTCTGCCTTAGGGAGCAGTGTCTGACCAGCACTTTCTGTGCAGACACCAGAGGAACAGCAATGGAAAGAGAACAGCAACACATGAGGAGAAAGTGTCACTATGTGTCCCCTCACGACAGACTGGGAACAGTTCTCACCCTGTTCATCCCCCAAAAGAGCAGCCAGGGCTGAAGAGCATTTCCAGCAGTGGTGTGCCTCTGCTCTCCAGAGGCCTGGCTTGGGCAGCCAAGCTGCAGGCTTCCCAGCTCCCCCACTGCCCAGCCCTCTGGCCACCTGCTGGGTTCCTGGGTTGCTCTGCCCACCACCACACTCTTAAGTCTTCCCTCCTCTGTAAACAAAAAGGTGATTCTCCAAGTTCTGTAAAACTGATCCCACCTTCTAAGTTACAGCCACCCAGCCCTGCCACACTGCAGATGAGTTGAAGAGCCCCATCATTTCCATTTTACTGATAGCTTTACTGAACAAAAAAAAGAAGAGAAGGCCCAGTCCTGCTGGTGCAGCATCCTGATAAAATGGTGGGGATGTTTTCAAGCCAGGCCAGAGCATGTTTTTCTTCTGCTCCCTGACAGCAGTGATCCAGACACGCTCAGCCCGAGGAGGGAGTGAATCCCAGGAGCTGCTCTATGGGCTTGTACCTCCACTCATCTGCCTCCAGCTCTTCCACCAGACCAGCTAGTTTTTCCATCCGTGCCACTTGTTGATCTGCAAGAAGTTCAAAGGTAACTGTGGTTTGCAAGGACAGCGCAATTAAACCTTTCCATGAGATGCAAATTCCCAGCTGTCAACGGGGAGCAGAGAAGAATAAACCCCACCTACATCCCCTTTGCATCCAAACTCACTCCACACGACGCCCTGTGAGGATGGTGAGACCGCAGCAGATCCCAGGAGAAAGCAGGGACAGGCTTTTCTGCCTCACCTGGCACTGAATGAGTGTTTACCTATCCCTGCCCGTGCCGTGTAAATTCAAGTCCTAACAGGGAAGCACGAGGCTGATTAGCTTATTGGGGGTGAAAACAGGATGAAGCTCATTTCTTTAGCATAAATATTTATAGTGCAGGAGAACAGAGAAGTTCTTGGGCAGAGCTGGGTGCAGCACAAGGAACTCCTGGTTTTAATGAAGGTCCTTTGAGGAGGACCTGGATGGCTGCAGCAGGAAGGCTCTGCAGTCAGAGCAGGCTAAGGACCTCAAAAAGAGATGGGCTGCCTCCCTCGGGACCCCCCAGGACAACTTGTTCCCCTCAGCTTTATTTGGAAGTGGTTGTGTGCTGGGCATGCAGGCTCCTTTTTCAATTAGGTTAGCTGTGGTGGTGGTAGAGAGATGTAGACAGCCCTTCTCTTGGCTCCACCAGAAGGTCAACACCACAGTGGGCTCTTGGAGAAGCAGCCCAGGACAAGCTGGCTTCCTTTAAGAGGTGTGACATCAAACGTGCAAGATTTATGCTGACTGCAGCAGTGGGTGCTTTTAAGAGGGACTGTTCCCACTCCACCTCCTGCAACCCGAGTGCTTTTGGGAACTGAGAAACAAACAAGCCAAAAAAATGATGACCTTGATCTTTTTTTCAAGCCTTCTCCCTTTCTCACAGGGAGGTGGTAACTGGTGCTCACACACCAGTTTCAAAACCTGCTGCTTCTCATAGTGCCAGGCTGAGCAGCAGCCCCTTGTTGCTACAGCCACAGTAAGCACCAGGGCTGTGGAAAACAATGGCTCTGAAGTCCAGCTTTGCTTTTTGTTCATTCATACAGGATGACAGTCTTGCAAGCTGCTGCACACCCCCAGACCCTCCTGACAGCAGGGGACAGGAAACCTCCCCAGTCTGAGACAACAAGAGGCGAGGACTAGAAAGGATGTGACCCTCGAGCAACACAGCAGCTACAATCTGGTGCTGAGCTCTGCCCAACATCTTTAGAACTCAAGCTGCCACCCAGGCAAGCCTGTCGTTCAGCTACAGGCAGCTGGGCGTTGGGAGAAGGCCCCAGGAGGGAAGCAGAAGTTCAAAGGAGACAGAAGGTTCTTTCCTGGGGAGGCAGGGAGTGGAGTCAGCCCCGTCACGCCACGCCAGGCCCCTCCGCCTCCGTCTCCCCAGCACCTCTGGAAACCCGGATTGACCCTGCCGGTGTCACCCGGGCTCAGCAGAGAAACAAAGGTGGAATCAACTGTCTCTGCCCGAGGCCAGAGAGACACTCAGCGCTGGGCCGAGAAGATCAGAGCGTGGGCGTTTCCTGCCCATCACCTCCTCCTCTGGCCCCACCTCTGGTGGAGGCAGCGCAGCAACGCAGCGACCGAAAAACAACCTCCCGGAGGCACGAGCCTGTTCCCTCCCAGGCTGTGTGGGTTCCCCTGGCTTTGCATGGGGCTTGCAGAAGACCTCACCGATAGTCTGACTTAGCATTCATTTGCTGACTTAAAAGACTGCTCTGCTTTTTTTGTGGTTGCCACCTGAGACCGTGTCAGCTTTTCCCCCACCGCCTGCCCGGCGCTTACCGTGTTTCACTTGCTTTAATGTAGATGCCACCTGATAGCTGAAGACAGACTCACAGAGGAACCTTTCTGAGCCATCTGTAAGCAGAAGAAAAAAGGGAGTTTCAAGACTGAGCAGCCTTACCTGAGAGCTGCCAACCTGCTGGTTTTAGGTTTGAGGTGTGGGTTTCCCCACGCGCCTTGTTCCGACACCTTCTCCTGCGCCTCAGCGGGGCTTTGGATGGCTCCTCTGCCACCTGGGAGACACCCCAGCTGATACCCTGTCACATCCCTCCTGTCAAGCAATTTTAGTCCCAGCTACATAGAAGGTAAGCTAAGGAGAAGCCAGCCAATATCACAGCAGTCTCTTGATTCCCTCAGGGATCAGGCGCTTGTGTCCTGATAACGCTTTATGATTTCCCACGGGCTTAGCCCCTACCCCTGCATCAAGGATTTCAGATAAAGTGCATCTTGCCATCTAAGTCAGGAATGGATCACACCACTGCCTCAAAAATCAATCCATCTGGAACACATAGCTAGTTGTGTGTCAAGTACTGGCACAGTTTATACTACTTCCTGCTTAAAAAAGCCTCCCAAACCTACGGGTTTATTTAAAAACAACAGCGCTAAGTTAAAGGAACAACAAAAACCAGTCAGGTAGTGGGGATTTTTGAAGGAGAAGCTGGTATGCCTACTACCTTACCAGCACCTGCCTGATGGAAGAATGGGTGTATCCCCTTTTCCATCAGGAACTGAAAAGCTAACTTGGAAGTTTCATGTGACAGGGATGGTGTTTAGTTGTTGCTGCCACCCAGAGAAGACAAAACTGCTGTGTTACTGGTCAGCCCAAAGCAACATCAACTAAAAGCTCCATGCCATAAAAAGGTAGAAACAGAGCCCTGGCCAATCTAATCTGAAGCTGAAACCTGGCTCAGAGCATCCTCTCTCAAGCTGCTGGAACCCTGTTTTGGTGCTGCCCTGTGTTCTTTCCAAACGTGCCCTTCCCTCTCCTGCGACTCCCCAGCCCGGCTGTCCTGCCGAGTGGCTCTCAGGAGGAACAGCTGTCTGTCTATTTGCTGACACAAAGTGCTGCATTATTTTAATTTGTTTGGAGGGCTCGTTAAGTTCTATGAGCAAGCCTTTAGTCATAATTACTTCAATAGACTGGCATATGGGCACTAATGTGTAATAAAAACAGTCCTTGAACGCTGCAGTGATCAGTTCCCAGCTGCCCCGTCTGTCGGCACAGGAACACTGTCACCTCTGAGCTGCAGGGCCACTCCAGTGAACTTCAGGCTCACACAGTCAACTGAGTGGGGTGGTGACATGGGAAGTTCAAGAGGAGCAGACAGACTTTGGCTTAACCCTGTCATCTGGAGGACCTGCCCTTCCTCCCTCAGCCAGTGCAGGGACGTGCAGCTGTGACGTGCCTGGGTCCTCCTGCAGGCAACCCTGACTGAGCTGGTGGCAGGGCACCCAAACATGGTCCTGGATCAGAGCCCTGACCCTCTCCAGGTGTCTCCAGAGAAACACCCTGACAAGAGTGACCCCAAAAAGGGAACGTGCTCACCTCAAAGGATTCAAAGAATCTAGTCCTGACTTATCCTCTCACAAACCTCCCTCTGCAGTGAGATGACAACTTGAGCCAAGGGCAAAAAAAAAAGCCTCCTGCTTCCTGGCCAGCAGGGATATAAGCTGCCTCCTGTGCCAGCCCAGTCAAATCCAATCCCAGAACATGTTTTGCCAAGAAAAATACTCCTGCCTCAGCTATCTTTACAGTCATTCCTGCCCCAACATCAAAGGATTAGCTAACAATGAGCAATTAACATCGTCATGTTCCCTTTCAGGTAGATCACTTCCTTGTCTGAAGTGTTGTCATGGAGCTAAAAACGACGTGCAGCTGTGACGTGCCTGGGTCCTCCTGCAGGCAACCCTGACTGAGCTGGTGGCAGGGCACCCAAACATGGTCCTGGATCAGAGCCCTGACCCTCTCCAGGTGTCTCCAGAGAAACACCCTGACAAGAGTGACCCCAAAAAGGGAACGTGCTCACCTCAAAGGATTCAAAGAATCTAGTCCTGACTTATCCTCTCACAAACCTCCCTCTGCAGTGAGATGACAACTTGAGCCAAGGGCAAAAAAAAAAGCCTCCTGCTTCCTGGCCAGCAGGGATATAAGCTGCCTCCTGTGCCAGCCCAGTCAAATCCAATCCCAGAACATGTTTTGCCAAGAAAAATACTCCTGCCTCAGCTATCTTTACAGTCATTCCTGCCCCAACATCAAAGGATTAGCTAACAATGAGCAATTAACATCGTCATGTTCCCTTTCAGGTAGATCACTTCCTTGTCTGAAGTGTTGTCATGGAGCTAAAAACCAGGTGATGGCCAGAAAAATCACTTCCTCATGAACAACTGGTGGGAGAGCTGGGACTGCTCAGGACCTGCCCAAGCCCTGGTGCTTCCTCCCTCCCTCCCTCCAGCTTTTGCCAACCCAAGTCCGAACAGGCAGCAGGATGCCAAGCTTGGCAACTCCCTTGCAGGGCTGCCAGGGCACCAGGAGGAGTGGGGAAGGAAAAGGGCAGGAGCAATCACCTTCCAGCATCTCCTCAGCTCCTTTGGGGTAAGTGAAGAGGGCTTTTCGGGGGGGTGCCAGGTCCGAAACGCTGAACCCCGACCCCGTGACGGAGCTGCCGCTGACGCCGCCAGCTGAGGAGGATGAGGAAGAGGCTGCCATCTCCCCCCGGCCCAGCCTGCAAGAACAAAAACAGGAGCAAAGCTGGGTTAGGAAGGGTGTCTCAGAGTTTCCCAGGGCACAAAGCCAACACCTGCCTGTGTGTCTGCCCGAAGATGAAGGCGGTGAGCTTGAGGAAGTGCCGGCCAGCGTTGCTTTCGGCTGCTGTGCAGCCTCCGAGGGCCGGTGGTTGGAGGCTGCCCTGTGTGGCAGGAGATGCTGCCTGTGCTGGGGGGTGGACAGCCGCAGTGACCTGTCACACCACGCGGTGGCAGCCTGAAGCTGAAGGGAAGCCAGGCTCTGACCGCTTGGCCAGGGGGCCTGGGAATTCAGCCGGCCAGACGATGGGGAGTGTGAGTAAAAATGACCTGGCACTGGTGGCTGGCCTGACTTGGCTGGCCTTCAGCTGCCTGGAGCTCCTCCTGCTCCCCAGGGTCATCAAAAGGCTTCTTTTTCATCTTTTCTGTGCTCGTTTCCAGGAGCACAAACACGGGAAAAGCCCTGCTGCCTCATAAAAGCTGGAAGACTGCAGGACTGCCAGTTCCCCAGCCCCGCATCCTGCTGCTCTCTGCATCAAACCAGATGTGCTTCTGCTTTTAAAGCACCCTGTGTTTGACCCTAGCCAGCAGCAGCTGAGTGTCCCTCTGTCTGTACCTGGTCACCTCCTGCATCCCACCCTTGTTCTTAACAGGTACTGATTGTATGTTTATCATGTTTGTAACCTGTCACACACTTCTCTCGATAGGAAAAAAGCTGACGCTTGGCACTTCCTGCTTTCCCAAGCATCTCCCTATTATCCTGCCCATTTAATTAATTTCTGTCGTGCTACCTATTTCATACATTTCTGCACACTCCTCAGGATACTGCCCTTTGGAAAGCACTTCAGGATTTAGTGGAGAAAATGTCTGTTTAAACGGGTATCACCCCTATGAATTGCGTGTGCGTTCGCAGTGAAGCTCAAGGTTGTGTCATAGAACCCTAGAATGGTTTGGGTTGGAAGGGACCTGAAAGATCATCTCATTCCAACCCCCCTGCCATGGGCAGGGACACCCCCCACCAGCCCAGGCTGCTCCAAGCCCCATCCAACCTGCCCTTCAACACTGCCAGGGATGGGGCAGCCACAGCTTCTCTGGGCAGCCTGGGCCAGGGTCTCACCACCCTCATATTAAGCAATTCCTTTAGAATCATGGAATGGTTTGGGTTGGAAGGGACCTTCAAGACTATCAGGTTCCAACCCCCCTGCTATAAGCAGGGACCCCTCCCACCAGCCCAGGCTGCACAAGCCTCATCTAATCTGGCCCTGAACACCTCCAGGGATGGGGGCATCAACAACCTCCCTGGACAACCTGTTCCAGTACCCTCTTGGTGAAGGATTTCTCCCTGATGTCCAACCTAAACCTCCCCTCTCTCAGTTTAAAACCATCACCTCCTGTCCTCTCACTGCCCTCTCTGCTGAAAAGCCCCTCCCCAGCTTTCCCCCTCAGGCTCGCAGCAGGCTGGGGGTTCGGGGCTGGGAAAGGAAACGCCAGAGACATGGAAACCCCTGCGGGCGCCCTTTGCCCATAGCCGGGCAGCCAGGCGGCTTCAGCCGTGCCACTGCGCATGCGCCGCCCCGGGCCC